GAAAGAAAGAAAGAAAGAAAGGAAAGAAAGAAAGAAAGAAAGAAAGAAAGAAAGAAAGAAGAAAGAAAGAAAGAAAGAAAGAAAGAAGAAAGAAAGAAAGAAAGAAAGAAGAAAGAAAGAAAGAAAGAAAGAGAAAGAAAGAAAGAAAGAAAGAAAGAAAGAAAGAAAGAAAGAAAGAAAGAAAGAAAGAAAGAAGAAAGAAAGAAAGAAAGAAAGAAAGAAATGGATAGAAGGAACACTTCTTCCAATAAATATTATAGTATTGGCCAAAGTCTGATCCGGGTCAATTCCTCAGCCAGTGTGATGGTGAAAGACTGAAACAAACATCCCGGTTAACGGTACACTCATTCCAAGACAAGAAAATAAACTTGGTTATATCACAGAGGGAATCTGTGGAAAACTACATCATGTCTAAGGAGAGATCCAAGAACTCTTACAAGTCAATGCAATAAAAAAAAATGAAATTTAAAAAGTTAGGGAGAAGACACTTCTAGATTTTATTTTTTTAACTTTTAATTGATTTTTATTTTTATTATTTTTAAAATGTATTTTATTGATTTTTCACATAGAGGAAGAGAGAGGGACAGAGAGTTAGAAACATCAATGAGAGAGAAACACTGACCAGCTGCCTCTTGCACACCCCCTACTGGGGATGTGCCCGTAACCAAAGTACATGCCCTTGACCTAAATCGAACCCGGGACCTTTCAGTCTGCAGGCCGATGCTCTATCCACTGAGCCAAACCGGTTTCGGCTAGATTTTATTTTTTAAAAATATATTTTATTCATTTTTTACAGAGAGGAAGGGGGAAAAGGTAGAGTGTTAGAAACATCGATGGGGATGTGCCCGCAACCAAGGTGCATGCCCCTGACCAGAATTTGAACCCAGGACCCTTCAGTCTGCAGGCCAACACTCTATCCACTGAGCCACACTGGTTTCAGCTAGATTTTAAAAGCATGATATAAAATACCAAAATGCCAAATAGCGAAATGCACACATACTCTATGACAGAACCCTGTTTTGAAAAAACCACCAATAAACAATAGGTGAAATGTGACCGTGGACTGGATGAGACCACAAAGAAGAATTACTATTAATTTTGTTACAAGTGTTACCCTGCCTGGCTAGTGTGGCTCAGTAGATAAACATCAACCCAGGAACCAAGAGGTCACTGGTTTGATTTTCGGTCAGAGCCATTGACCCCCCAGTAGGGGGCATGCAGGAGGCAACAGACTGATGATGTTTCTCATTGATGTTTCTATCTCTCTATTCCTCCTCCTCCTTTCTCTCTAAAAATCAATACAAACGTTACAAAAAAAAAAGTGTTGCGCTGGTTTTCTCAATGGTTTGAGCATCAGCCCATTGACCAAAGGGTTACAGGTTCGATTCCTGGTCAAGGGCACATAGCTTGGTTGTAAGTTTCCCAACCGTGGTAGGGGCATATGTGGGAGGCAACCAATTGATATGTCTCTCTCATATCCATGTTTCTCTCACTCTCTCCCTCTTCCCTTCCTCTAGAAATCAATGGAAAGAAATATCCTTGGGTAAAGATTTTTTTCAAGTGCTAATGGCGTTATGGTTAGGTTAAAAAAAATGTCATTTTCTAAGAAATAAGTTCTGAAATTTTTAGGCGTAAAACGCTTCCTCTGATGTCTGTAATTTAACGTACTTCAGCTACAACAAAGCAGATAAAGAAATGTGGCAAATGTCAACAGCGAGGGGCTGTGCACGCAGGTGCTTATTATATACCATACCTCTCAACGTTTACAAAAAATGTTTTAACATTTTCATAACAAAAGAAAAAAAATTTCTTAAAATCCCAGAACAATCACGCCAATCATGATTTACAGTCACTGACAAGGCAGCTGATTTTAATTAGCAAGTACGTTGTCGGAGCAGAGAACATTCGGTGACAGGCAGAGACAGAGCACAAGAGCAGAATGTCGTTGCTGAGAAACAAAACAGCGAGCCAGTCAAGGTCACCGACAACGCTGTGGCTTTTTTTTTTTTTTTTAAATATATTTTATTGATATTTTACAGAGAGGAAGAGAGAGGGATAGAGAGTTAGAAACATCGATGAGAGAGAATCACCCATTAGCTGCCTCTTGCACACACCCTACTGTGCCCGCAACCAAGGTACTACATGCCCTTGGCCGGAATCGAACCCGGGACCTTTCAGTCCGCAGACAGACGCTCTATCCACTGAGCCACACCGGTATGAGCAACGCTGTGGCTTTTGCTGAGAGCTCACAGACCTCGGGGCCTAGGCCACCCTC